AGGACCCTCAGTCTCTGTTTCCCTCAGGCTTGGGTCTTAACAGCAATCATGAGACAGCAAGAAAAACTCCACTTAATATCTATTATCCTGACACAGCTGCAGCACCTGGGAATTCCAGGTATAGGATTGTTTTTAATAGACGTGAGTCCTTGTACAGTCTGACGTGAATTTCTGTGGCTGAATTTAACGTCAGTTGAACTGGGGGGAACTTGCATTTGTAGCTGAGGCAGGTATTAGATTCTGAGTAAAATAGCATTTAATTTTATGGACTTTGTAGATTCTTGTTTTTTTAAGATTTTATTTATTTATTCATGAGAGACACACACAGGGAGAGAGGCAGAGACACAGGCAGAGGGAGAAGCAGGGAGCCTGATGCAAGACTCGATCCCAAGACTCGGGATCATGACCTGAACTGAAGGCAGACATTCAACCACTGAGCCACCCAGGTGCCCCCTGACCTTCTAAGTTTTTGCCTCTTGCTGCTGAGTTATCAACAAGGAATGTTAAGTTAGGACATTAAATTTCAAACACACTTAATTGTCCATGGAATAGAGAACATTAATGTCTGAGGTTTGAATCATATTTACCCTAAAACTGCCTTTTTCCTTTATATAGTTTTGATTTTCATCCAGTTCCATTTCAAGAACTATATAGGGGATTAACCACTGAGCTTCTTATGACTCCTGGAGGATCACCCTGATATAGAGTCACACTGGCTCAAGTTTGTTAATTCTGTAAGATTTCATCATAGCAACAGATTGCAGGGGCTTAAAATATGGGTTCAGCCACAGAGGAATGATAGATTTTAACCATAACTAGGTAAAGAATAAGAAATCTTTTCCATTTCTTTGGGCCAAAGATACTCATCCCAATGAATTAATATCCAAAAGCTGAAGAGAACTGTCAAAAAATAAATATAATACTATGCCTGGACCACTTGGCCCCTAGAAATTAGGTTGGTTTATAATCGAGATTGGTTTAAAAATATGTCTTGATCTTTAGATCAGCACAGAAGCTATGACATAATTAAAAATAATGGAAATCAAGCTCGATTACACTAGTTTTTCCCAATAATTTTCCTGATTTTATCTTATAAAAATTCAAGAAAAATTGAAAGAAAAATTAAAAGTCCCCAAATTCCTATCACCCAGAAATGAAATAGCCAAGATTAAATAGTCAAAAGTAAATATAGGGCAGCCCGGGTGGCTCAGCGGTTTAGCGCCGCCTTCCGCGCAGGGTCTGATCCTGGAGACCTGGGATGGAGTCCCACGTCAGGCTCCCTGCATGGAGCCTGCTTCTCCCCCTGCCTGTGTCTCTGTCTTTCTCTCTCTCTCTGTCTCTCATGAATAAATAAATAAAATCTTAAAAAATATATATATAACTCCAGCCATCTCCCTCTGCTGAAAGAACAAAGGAAGGAAGAGAGGAAAGAAAATTTAAAAAACAAACTAGGATCATGGTGTACATGTTACTTTTACAGAAATAGTGGCATTCAGTAATTCAGTATAATTTTACTTCAATTCAATCAAAGAAAAAGTTACCAATGAAAAACTGATAGAATTGATATTTGAGATTAGGATTTCCATATTTAAAAATTCTGTTCCTTAAAAATCTCTCCAAAATTAAAAAAACTAAAATCCTTAAGAAGTTGAAATAATATTCAACATCACAATATGTGCTATTCTTGATAACCTTTTTTAATTTTTTTTAAAAAAATTTATTTACTGGTTTGAGAGCCAGCATGAATGGTGGGGGAGGGGCAGAGGGAGAGGGAGAAGCAGACTCCCTGCTAAGTGGGGAGCCTGACAATAGACTCAATCCCAAAACCTGAGATCATGACCTGAGCCGAAGGCAGATGTATAACCAACTGAGCCACCCAGGCACCCCCATTCCTGGTACCTTTAGATACCTTATTTATTACTCATTTGTTATTACTTATTTATTATTGAATTCCTTTAGATAACTACAGATAACCTTTGGATGTTATGAAAAATGATAAATTTAGTGTTTCCACTTAGACATTTGCATTTTCTCAGCCCCATGTTCTAGTTTGAATTTGTTACATTATATTTTTATATTGTCCGAAGGTTTATAGGTGTATATTGTCAAGATTTATATCTCTTAAGAATAAAAGAGAATGGCTTAGCATGTAAATAATGCACTCAAGCCAAGTGAAGGGAAACGATTTTACATTCACTATATACATGAAAGTTCTTTAATAATTAAGGAAAAATGGTGGAAATTTTTGAGTCTTCACATGAAACAAAGGAAGACTAATTCAAAAATCCTGGCAGAAAAAAAAAAATCCTGGCAGAGTATCATACTCATAGTCTATGTGGCATTTTAGTTTTAGCAAAATATTATCTCCCACACTGAATTAATGTTAACTTAAATTTTATGGGTTTGCAAATTGTCTGTCCTCTTAACTTGTAATTTGGGTCGGTTTTCTTGTTTTCTAAGATAAATAAGCAAAGGAGTTAACAATTAGTTTTATGTTTGTGCGGTATTTAAGAAATACAATAAAATAAAGCACAATAAATAAAACTTAAAAGTTAATTAAAAGTAGAAGGTAATATCAGTGTTTCATGCTTACCCCTTTGGCTATTTCTGTTTTAGTGGGTGCACCTAATACTGACCTCCAACTGCCAGTGCCTGCAACTGAAGGCTTTTTCTTGCCATCATAGTCCACTGTAGCTGAGCACATGGCAGCCAGATAGGCTTCAGAATCACCCCTCCTAGAGCAGCCCTCATCCTATGACTGAGATATTTGCAAGGGAGTTGGTATGCACATACCTCAGCTCTCTCTTGATGTGGGTGAGATAACTTCGAGGCACATGTTCGAACTATTTCCTACATTTCCTCAGCAGATTTAAGCTCAGTTGTTAGATGCAGCTGTTAGATCACTCATGCCAGTAGATCTAAACCTGCATCATAGCCACCTTTTAGGGTGGGGGTGCACCAGTGGTAAATGAAATCGGAGTCCTGGCCTCAGTTCATTTCATAGTCAAACCAGTGGATCTATGGAACTAACAAGTGGAAATTTCTGTTGCCCAAGGGCATCATGGAAACAACTATAATTAGAACTGATAAAACCTTACCTCACCCTGGTTTATTGGCCTACACAGGGTAAGTCATATGTGAAGAAAAGCCAGATGCAAGTCCCTGAAAATGCCCCCATCAGCCATGATAATAAATCAAAAGCAATGTCACATCTTTGGCAAAATGGAGCTTTGATCCACGTCATAGTCCATTTTAATTGAACAAGTTCTCCTGCTTAAAACGCATAGATCAGGAAATGACTTGAGGAATTTGGGCTTCCCACCCCCACAACTTTTGTCTAGGGTGGGCCAGAGGTCCTGGTTCCTGGAAGGCAGAGGGATCCTTCTACAAGGGGACAGAGTAAAGACTCCATCGAATCTTCCTTTTTTTTAAAAAAAAAAAAAAAAAAAAAAAGATTTTATTTATTTATTTGAGAAGGAGTGAAAGAAAGCATGAATAGGGAGAGAGGCAGGTGGAGAGGGAGAAGCAGACTCTCTGCTGAGCAGGGAGCCCAATGCAAGGCTTGATCCTAGGACTCTGAGATCATGACCTGAGCCAAAGGTCATGACGCCTAACTGACTAATCTACCCAGGCGCCCCTTCACTGAATCTGAAGTTATATCTTCTCCCTTATCATTTTCAGCTTCTTATTCCAGATGACCAATAAGCAGAGAAGGAAGTCCTGGCTGAAAAAAGGATATAGGGTTGCTATTACATAATGAAAACAGGGAAGATTGTATCCTACATGCCTTTGTAGGGCTTTCTCTGGTCATTAAAGCATGTTTGCCCACGTTCTGAGAGAGTTAACAGACCCCAGGAGAAGCTCTGGACCAAAGATGGTGGAAGTGGTACATAAATATCCCGTTTCCCTCTCCCTCCGTGAGATAATTCAGAGATACGCCATCTACACTTTTCCGCAGAAGGTTCCACTCCACTTGTGGTACTTCTTTTGCTAACACACTTTGTATTTGCTCTCTTTCTTTCCCTGTCTTAATTCCCTATTTCTTATTCCTCCCATCTAAATTTCTTCCACTCAAATCTTTGTCTCAGTGTTTGTTTCTGAGAAATTCCAAAGTAGAGTAGGATCCTTGAAAGTTGTCTTTCCTTTAAAGTCGTATCAATAACATTCTTTAAAATGCTGTTGAAGCTGTCATTAAGCATGCACACTTCAATAACCACTGGGATAATATCCATGATAAAACAGCACTCTAATTATTTTCATGCTCATAAGCCTGACCCAAAGGTACAAGTTTCTTCTTCAGAGTCTCTTTAAGGTTCCAGGAAACTGTACACTAATGAAAAAGTCCATTAAAAAATATATTTAGGCAGCCTGAGTGGCTCAGTGGTTTGGCGCCTGCCTTCGGCCCAGGGCGTGATCCTGGAGTCCTGGGATCAAGTCCCACGTCAGGCTCCCTGCATGGAGACTGCTTTTCTCTCTCTCTGTCTCTCTCTCTGCCTGTGTCTCTGTCTCCCTCTGTGTATATCTCATTAATAAATAAATAAAATCTTTAAAATATATATATTTATATTTTTATATATATAAAATATATATATTAATATATTTATATATTTATAGGGTGTCCTGAGTGGTTCAGTCACTTAAGTGTCTGCTTTCCTTTGGCTCAGGTCATGGTCATGATCCCAGGGTCCTGGGATCGAGTCCCACTCCTTGCAAGGCTCTCTGCTGAGCAGGAGGAGGGATCTGCTTCTCCTTCTCCCTCTGCCCCTCCCCTCCCCCTTGTGCATGCATGCTCATGCGCACTCTCTCTGTCAATCTTTATATATTTATGTATACATACACACAGAGACACAAAGGCACTTTAAATTTAGGTACTTAAATGGACAGATTTCTGTTCTTTGAGAATCATACGAGGCAGAACAACTTACTTAACTCCTAAATCCTCAATGAGGCTACCTTTAGGACTGAGTAAATCACACTCCGCATAAAGGGATGCCTTTTACCTTGTTCACATGAATGGCACCTCTTGCAGCTTTGCAGGGCACAACCAACCAAACCTTATGCATCTGCAACATATAGTTGTAAAATGAATGCTTACTCCCTTATATATTACTGACAAGTTTCTTAAATGTAAAAGGATGTGAAACAGTCTATCAAATTAAACCCCCCCAAAGTTAATGTTGAATTATTGATGTTAAGTTTCCCCTTATTCAATACAGTTTTCATTGTCCTGTATTGCTTTATCTAATGCTGGAATGTACTCATTGAATCATATTTTAAACCAGGATTCTTGATGATTCTATATGTGCCTCAAAATATAATCACATTGGAACTAGATAAAGGGGCTCTGTCAAGTTCAATTTACCCAAGTTACTTCCTCAACAATACTTCAAAGATTTTACTCACATAATTCATACAGGCAGATTAGAATATGCACTCAGGTAAAAAAGATCACTTTGCTATTCTGATGATCATGCACAATCTTACTGCTAATAAACTCCATTGTATAGTTTCCCACAGGAGCAAGTGGAGTTTCTCATGGGAAATATTATGTAACTTTTTGAAAGAAATTTATACTGAACTTTTATTTGTTGATTTTTAAACAAATACAGAGTACCTTCAAGCGAGTACTATACTAGAATGTTACAGAAAATTAAATATCCACTAAGCCTGTAGTGAATGGGGTTTAAAAAATAATTTTGATAAATGATTTCGATTGACTCCTTGATTATATAAGTAAACCTTAGAGCAGATGTTGAAAATTTGCAGCCTTAAGGTATGATTCAGCCTATTTGTGTATCACCATCTGGCTCAGTGTTTTTAAACTTTTGTATTTGAGTGCTTTCTTAGTTCCACAGCTTCCCTCCCCCACCTCATTATGGTCTGATGCCCATCTGGATTCACATTTTGGTGTTAGCTGCCTGGCCTCACTGGAAGGCTGAGATTGCAGCCTCTGCAATTGAACTGGGGGCCCAGTAGATTTTTTTGAGAGCCATACTTAGATACCTTTATTAACAAAATACATATTTTTGTATACTTTGAAAAATTATCACATACCTGCAGAGGCTGTGACATGCTTTAGAGTTTAAAATTAAAATGTCATTTCGGAGCACGTGGTGGGTCAGTGGTTGAGCATCTGCCTTTGGCTCTGGTAGCGATCCCAATCCCAGGGTCCTGGTTTGGAGTCCTGCATGGGGCTCCCTGCAGGAAGCCTGCTTCTCCCTCTGCCGATGTCTCTGCCTCTCTCCGTGTGTCTCTCAAGAATAAACAAATTTTTTAAAAAAATAAAATATTGTCATTTCAAGGTTTTCCTCCTCCCCTGTTTTTCTTCTGCTAGCACTTTTTGCACTAAGCTTCTCTAAAACTGTACGACTACAAAGAAGGTCTACAGGCTCAGGAGAAAGGGGAAGTAGGGAGGAATCAAGAGATACAAACTAATAGTTGTAAAATAAATCAGTCATGAGGATATAATGTACAGATGGTGAAAAGTCAATAATACTGTATTGTAAACCTGAATGATGCTAAGAAGGTAAGTCTTGAAAGTTCCCATCACAAGAGAAAAAATTTGTAACTTTGGGTGGTTATGGATGGTAACTAGACTTACTGTGGTGATCATTTTGCAATATAGACAATTGTTGAATCATTATGTTATACACCTGAAACTAATATAATGTTGTCTGTCAGTCATACTTCAATTAAAAAAAAAAAAGAAAGAAAGAAAGAAAAAGAGGAAGAAGCATGACCAGCATGCTGAAGTCCTTTTGGCCAACCCATGGGTCACAGGTCACACTGTGGCAGTTACTGCTGCTGACAATGGAGGATGGTATCAAAGATAGAACTATTGTTAAAGGACTTACTTAGATCAATCTAGTTTGAAGGGTCAGTTTTTAAAACCCTATTTTATTTGTTTCAACGTAATGCTGAAGATAATGCTACATTGCATGATTTATACATATAACCTAAGAATTAAGAGTTAGATTTTTAACTTTAAATTGTGTCTGGGTCCAAAGTTTAAACTAAATGGGGTATGAACTCGTGCAAGATTTGGGGCACCTGGATGGCTGGTGCAAAATTTGGGGCACCTGGATGGCTTAGTCAGTTAAGCATCTGCCTTATGCTCAGGTCATGATTTCAAGGTCCTGGGATCTAGCTGCCAGAGAGGTTCCCTGCTCAGTGGGGAGCCTGCTTCTCCTTCTCCTTCTGCCCCTCCTTCTACTCATGCTCTCTTTTTCTATCTCGCTCTTCTCTCAAATAAATTAAATCTTTTTTTTAAAAAAGAATAAAACCTCAGTGATTTAACTTGTTCACAGTAATTCCCCTCCCCTGTGTGTCTCCTCATAATCTTTTGAAGAAGTTAAAGTGTTATTATCCCCACTGCACAGAAAAAAGAAACAAAAAATGCAATTGAGAACTTTTTGTTCAAAATCATGTGTTAAGTCAGCAACCAGCAGCATTAATTTGTGCTTTTTATTGTACATTTGTATGCAACTGTATCTTTTTATTTCATGATCTTTTCCACAGAATTAAATTTTGGAAAGGTTCAAAATTAACCTAAACAGAACTGGAGTGCCTTCCAGATTAGGCCAGGATCCTACTCAGTTTTAGCCTGGCTATAAGAGTTCTCCCTCCAGCTCCGTGCAAAATCATAAAAGGGCAGGTTTCCTGTTAAGCTGGAGAAAATGCACAGTTGCCCTGGACAGTGTGGTCTGATGTGATAGTCGAGATTAGGGAATAAGCCACATGAGAGCCAGCAGTTCTGACCCTTCTATATAATTAAGGAAGAATGCCAGGTGTTCTCCCCCTGCCTGAGTAAGCCCGCATTGACTTGTTATGAAGAAGTGTGGTGGACCAGACTGCTCATCATTAAAACAGACTCTGCCTACCTGTCTAGGACAGAAAAGGGTGGGAGGGGAAGACTACTTAATTAGCTGAGAGGCATCAGTTCATGCCAATCCAAATATAAAAGTAAAACAGGTGGGAACTTTTTAAATATCTTCTCTGAGGCATGCAACCCCTGAGGTCTTAGGACACATTACCAACTCATGGAGCTTTTGAAGGGATGGATCTTGTGAATCTAAGCCAAATGGTTAAAGGCATGAAAGTCATGCTTTGCCAGGAACCAACTGTCCATTTTCCTTTGTGCTCTCTACCACCAGAGGTTCATTTACTTTTTGTTGTTTGATCTCAAAGAATTTAATCTTTTGACAAGGCTACCGAGGAGCCTTGGAAGGTGCTAGATAGTAACATTTTCCATACAAATATTTTGAGACCCAAGTTTTGCAACTTGGAATTCACAGCCCTGTGCAAGAAGTTGTTGTTAAGTGGAAATTGGAATTTAGATAGTTTTTCAGACTGATGCTAGAACTCTGGGGTAGGTGATTCTAATATAGCTAGTTTTATGCATCTGTGACATGGGTGGAATGATCTGAAAGGTTTCATTTCAGTTCAGTACCTTAAAAACTCAAACCCACCTTCCTCATTTGGGCTTCACTTCTTTGGGACTTGGAGGCTTCTTAACCTCCAAAAGGGTTACATACCCTTTTGCTGCCAAAACCTGCAATTGAACCTACTTCTCTGAATTTCTGATCTAGGAATTTTTACATCATTTTGATGCTTCCCCTTAGCTAACAGCTCTGGAGAACAAGAATAGGACTTACTAGAGAAGTATGGCTTCAAAGGAACCAGGAGTGATCCCAGGAGGACAGGGAAGTGACAGATGAGTAGGTTCCAGTGATGAGATAAATCTACTTGGACTAGGACTTCTGGGTTCCTACTTTTTGGAACACAAAAAGTTCTCCCTTTTTGATTGAGTGCATAACACCTTTCCTCCTTACAGTATGCAGTGATGTGTTTTTAAAAGGGAAGGTGAATTTAATACGAAGAATTGTGACCCACCCCTCAATCTTCCCCCGGAAATCACAAAACCAAAGCCAAGAAAAAATGTTGTGAAGTCAGCACTGCTGTGGCCAGAGAAAGCACATTAGCAGGAGGTCAGTAGCTAGAAATGAGAAACAAAGTCAGAGTCCAGAATATGGCAGAGTAAGTGAGGTGGAGCAGCCATCTCTTTCCCTGGAACTGAAGGGTTTCCTAAGGCACAGGACTTTTAGTGCTGAAACTGGGACAGTCCCCAGGCAAATGAAAATGGTTACTCAACCTACGTAGGTGGCAATTTAAATAAACAGAGTTCTGTTCTTTACATGACTTGGACTCTCCATTCAAAGGATTACCTGGTTGAGGAGAAAGTGAAACACCATGCTGTACCATTGTCCAAAAGCATACATTGAAGTATACTTTCTGGAAGCCTGGTCAGAAGCAGAGTGAAGATCTGGCCGGCAACACATGCATGTACCTTTATTTTGTAGCTTCAGGTCTTGAGTATGGAGAAATCTGGAAGAAAGGATAGAAATTCATGAAGAGCAGGCAGGAAGTCATTCTAGAGATGATTGAGCATATCAACATACAGGAGATTGTGTAGACCTGAGTCCCTTTCAGGGTACAACGCTCATTCTAGACACGTTGGTCTACACATTTTACCCCAGGCCCACTCAGTGCTCTCCTTCACTTCTATTCCAGAATGCTGTTCTCTTACTTCTATAGCTACAGAAAAGAAACACTATTTATCCTGCAACCATCTTTTGAGATTTCACTGCTTCAGAAAAGGTATGTCGGACCACTTCTCTCGGTTAAGTTCCCACCAGGGAATCTTCTGTTATTCTCTGTTTACCTTCTGGTTGTGTCAATCAATGGCTCTCCGATGTCTTGTCTCATCAACCAGGTTGTAAAGAGTGAGCTGTCTGGATTAATCTTTCCTTTTTAAAAATTGCCTCCGGCTTGTTGCAGTGTCTAGCCCAGAATTGGCTTGTTGATTGTCTAACACAACACCGTCCAACAGAAACATAAGATGAGCCACATTTGTCATTTGAAATTTTCTAGAGTCACACTGAAAAGAAGTCAAAAGAAACAGGAGAAAATCATTCTAGTAATATATATTACTTAGCCCACTGCATCCCAAACATTATTTCAACATGTAATCGACATGAAAAAGCTATCATTTTCACATGATTTTGATTGTACTAAGTCTTTGAAATTCGGTGTGTTATTTTACTCTCCAGCACATCTCAATTTGGTTTAGTCAGAAATCAAGTGCTCAAGAGCCACCTGTGGCATGGTTAGTGTCAACCCTATTGGATAGCACAGGTCTGAATGATAATTTGCAGAAATTTACTGAAGCAGTTGATGGAGACTTACATGATAGAAGGAGTTTAGTTTGATTTTTCCATCAATAAGAAACTTTTTAGAAGAATAGAAGGCTGCAATAGCATGTCTTAACATAGTGAGAATAGAGATTAAGGCTATGAATTCATAGAAATCAAGAGAAAGGATGACTCCCATGATAGAAAATAAATTGGGGAATAGCAGAACGTTGTGAACGATGGAGAAGAAGTAAACAAGAATTAAAGGTAGTAAGCCTGGAATACCAAAAGAATAGTGAGATGGGAGTCAGAGAGAGGGAAAGAGAGAAAGAGACAGAGAGAGGGAGAGAGAGAGAAAGAGAGAGAGAGAGAAACAAGTCTAAGAAAGAGAGGGATTTCTTTTCAACCATGTAATTTCAGGTGCTGGCAAGTTCATCTCACCAGAGACATAGTTTGAAGCAAGGATGAAAGATGAGGTCTGGAAAAGTAGCTTTTGGGATCAATGCCATTAAGTTGGTTGAGCCTTACAATCCTAAGATTGTGAAGGCAGATAGGGATAAGAATGAAAAAAAAATTAAAAATTTAATCTTAAGAGTTCCATAATTAGCAAGCAGGACAAAAAGTGCTGAAGATGCCAAGAAGAAAAGGAGGAGATCACAGAAGTCAAGGGTGTGGGGGAGACAATTTCAAAGCAGAAAGGGACAGCAAGCAGGAGAGAATTTGAGAAAAGTCTATTCAACATGCTTTGGAAGCCATCTCTAAAGCAATGAGAATCTTTGTTGAAGCTGAAGGAAAAAAAAAAAAAGAGGATTTACATTAGCTGAGCTCTCTTCCAAACCCCTGGTTTTCAATCCTTAGACCAACAGGCTGACCAAAGATGTTTGGATTGAGAAAGCTGACTTTTTCCAGCAGATACAGTCCCAGCAGGAATCCTGGCAGAAGGAAACAGAGCAGCACAGAGCGGGTGGAGCTCTGGGTGATTCTTGATTAATGGCCAATGTAAAGAAACCCCAGAAACAAGCCAAGTGACAGGACGCAGGGAATTCATAGGGAGAGCAGCGCAGGACTGAGAAACTATTGCGAAACCATGCTTTGGTCTTAGTTTAAAGACAAGAAGAAAAAATAACAAATTTAAAGTATGACTTGTCATTTTAAGGGTTTATTGTTCTTTTTCCAACCATTTTTTTCAATATTTTATTGCTTATCTTTAGGGATGGGCAAATATGGAATGTGTCCAGTGGAACGTTGCCTTTAATTTTTTGCACGTTTTTGAAAAGGCAGTGGAGAATAAGAGTGGCCTAAAAGCCCTCGAAACTAGTGGCCTGAACTCCGATCCAATCTTTTTTCTCTTTCAAACCAATTCAACTGAAACACACTACCCAGTATCCAAAGATTTAGAAGAAAAAAAAATGGAGGTTTTTAGCTTTGTCTTTGCTGAAATAGCTTCAGGATAATGGAGTCAAATTAGAACTAATAGGAATCAACTCCGGTCTAGGTAGTTAAAGTAATTCCCTTATTTGTGCGAGGTGAGATTTACTTTGGGTTGTATTTGGCAAGTGTAGGAGTAAAGGGTGTGTAATTTATTCAGCTCCAAAAGTCCCTTGAAATTCCCTGCAATTTCATAAAACGTAGCAGTTCAGATGCACAAATGTTTCTGAAATCTTTGGGACACAACCACCTAGATCATTCCTGCTACTGAAAAATGACTAAGTTGGATTTTCTGTTCCCTCCCAAAGGAGGAAGCTTGACAGATGCAAGTGAAAAGTGTAGTACATCAGACACGGTGAGGTAGAATGAGGTGGGTGAAAATGTGACTCAACTGGGAAGAGGATGCAAATTCCATTCTGAGTAGTAGGAACAGAACAGTGCATATGGAAATGAAGATGAAGATAGAGTCAAAGTAGCTTAATCCGTTTCAAGTGTTTTGTTTCTATGTATGGCATTTCCTTGGCTCTCCTAGTCCATCTTAAAGACTCATGATAGATCCATACACATGCCATTCTTTCTACATCTAAACACATTCTAAAAGCTGAGAAACAACCCAAAAATGAGACGTGGGATTCACAGTTAATCAATAACTTCAAAAAGGAAAAAGAATACATAAGTCAAAGACTCTAGTGCGTCAAGATAGCTATCAAACATTGTGCTTATTAGAAAGGACTTGCTCATTTTTGCTTAGAGATGAAATAGCTTTTATTATTCACACACATGCACACAATGTGTTCTTGTTTCAGGAAGCACCAACATCAGATAGTCAGATTACCAGATAACTCAAAGATTGGTATTCTGACTAAATTGGCAGTTTCTAAATGTCAGATAGATTAGTTTATCTCAAATCACTGTGGTGCAACCTCATCACAGACTGTCCCTTGAGGGTGTTTAGATAAAAATATATGGGGAAATAATTTCTTGTATTTAAAATAGCAACCTGTAGTTTCCTAAGAAAACCAGGTGGAAAATTTTATATCAGATGCCTCATCCTTAGAAATTAGACAAAGTCTCTTACATCTTGAATCTCCTTCACCCCTTGATGCAACTGCCTTCTAACCCTTATGGGACGGAGTAAAATTGGTGTCAGTACCAACATGTATCACTTTCCTCTATATCATTAATGATTAGTTGTACAAGTAATCTGTTTTATATTGTAAAGCTAATTTTATATTGATTTAAAAAAAAAACCCTCTTACTTAGGACATTTACTAGAAGAGATAATAAATATCCTTGCAGTTGGCCATGCTCCTAGACTTCTAGCTCTTCCAAGAAGCCCACTGATGGCTTCAAGGAGGTAGCTGGATTCTGGAAATAGTCACTGAGATCGTGTGCATGTAAGAGTTTTTGAAGTCCCAAATCTTTAGTCAGATTCTGTTGGGAACACACGTCTTAAAGAAGTTAAGCATGATTTAGAACGCCACATATAAAAGTGTACGTGGAATGCCTCAATATGAACCTGGCGCTTTGCCAAAGCTAATAGTATTACTAGTAGATGAATAAGAAGATATATAGCATAATCTGTTTTTTTTTCTCCTTTAAACTGAGTCCTAAAAAAATAAATAAATAAAATTAAATTAAAAAAAAACTGAGCCCTTTGATGTTTAGTATAATATTCAACAAAATAAGGTAGATCTTTCTATCAAAGGAAAATAATAAGACACACTCACTGTTCCATTCAGGCCAACGTTTTGCCTCTTTTCGGATTAAAATTAACGAGGGTTTCACATTGTGCCTTCAACCTTATGGGAGGCTCCTAAAACAGACAATAGCGCAGGACGAGGAACCTTGATTGCGCAACTTCTGCTCTGGCTTTTTTGGAAAATAGCAGATGTCATTTTTCTTATCGCCCACCCTAAAATAGTCATGACAACCTGGTCACACTCCTGGAATTTTCAGAATAGCAACTGCACATTTTTTTTAATGAACTTCCACGGTCTGTATTGGCCAAGTGGCGCCCCCGGGCAAAGCACACTCCGGGCTCCCGGTGACCATATCCGTGCGTGGCACGTCGTCGTTCTGCTTCTTAACGAATTCTTAGGAGAATGTGACAAGGGTCGCGGGGACGACCCCGCCCTGGGAGGGGCTGCGCCGGGAGCGCAGGGGGCGCTCCGCCCGCCCGCGCAGCCCCGGGAGCGACCCGGGGCGGGGGGGGGGGGGGGGCACGGCCGAGGCCCGCGCTCCAGGCCGCAGACCCGCCCCGCGGCGCGCGCGGCCGCCGACGCCGCCTCCCGGGAGGACGGGCCCGCGCGGCCGGCGGCCCGGGAGGCAGCGCCCCGCCCCGCCCCGCCCCGCCCCCGGCGCGGCTACACACAGGGGCGCCCACGTGCCCAGCCCGCCTTCGGCAGCGCGGCGGCCCGGGCGCTCCTCTCCGCGCGGACCAGCGAGGCGGCCGCAGCTCCCTCGGCCTCCCGGAGCCCCCGGCACGCTCCAGCCGCTCGCCCACCACCGCCCCAGTAAGTTGCCGAGTGTGCGGCCGCGCGGAGAGGCGGCCCCGGGCGCGGGGGCCGCGGGGGCCGCGGGGGGGGGGCCGGGCGGGGCCGCGGGGGGGGCTGCAGCGCCTCGCCCCCGCCAGCCCCGTGCAGCCGCGTGCGCCCCCCCCCGCCCTGCACCCCGAGGGGTCCCGGAGACTCTCGGTTTACACTTGGAAAGGCGGGCAGCCCGGGTGGCTCAGCCGCGTGGCGCCGCCTTCAGCCCGGGATGATCCTGGAGGCCCGGCATCGAGTCCCGCGTCGCGCTCCCTGCGTGGAGCCTGCTTCTCCCCCGCCTGTGTCTCTGCCTCCCTCTCTCTCTCTGTGTCTCTGTGTCTCTCTCTCATGAATAAATATATATAAACATAGAAAGGCGCGTGGAGGGATCCCTGGGTGGCGCAGCGGCTTGGCGCCTGCCTTTGGCCCAGGGCGCGATCCTGGAGACCCGGGATCGAATCCCACGTCGGGCTCCCGGTGCGTGGAGCCTGCTTCTCCCTCTGCCTGTGTCTCTGCGCCTCTCTCTCTCTCTCTCCCTCTCCCTCTCCCTCCCTCCCTCTCTCTCCCTCTCTCTCTCCCTCCCCCCCCTCTCTCTGTGACTATCATAAATAAATAAAAAAATAAAAAAAAAAGAAAGAAAGAAAGGCGCGTGGAGCTGCGGGAGCCTTTCGCGTCCCAGAGCTGAGCGGGACTGGAAGGACAGGTAAAACGTGCTGCGTGCGTGCTTGAGCTATTTGCAAGGAGAGGGCTGAGCTCCGAACCCGTCGGGGGCGGGCTGAGCTCTCTAAAGCCTATTTCGTGCAGTCGTCAGCCTCGAACTCGAAATGCCGTCCCCGAGGCTTAGGCAATCGCCAAGCCCGTCGCCGCAGAGTGATCCATTCCTCCGCGGAACTCTCCAGCATGTTTTTACGCGTATCCCCCCTAGTCCGTGGAGTAACGTCCTCAGGGATGGTCATCTTAAAGATGCTTAAAAATACGCTCACGGGAAGTCCTACACATCTTTATCAGTGCAAACAGTTGCTTAGGTTTCAGGAGTTAAAAACGTTCAACCTATTCAGACTTTTCATGCGTTTATGCAGAACTGCCTCCGGAGGGGTTTCGTTGACCCTTAGGGCTGGTAATAAGGTTTAATCGAGTCGCATGTGCAGAAACAGTCATACTTTTAATGAGGGTTTATTTAGAGCTCTCAGAATGTTGAAGGGAGGGGTGCTGCTGGCATATCGGGTTAGTGGGTGTATGGCCTCTGACTTGATACTTCTGCACTCTCGGCTTGGCCAGTCCTTAAAACTTCAGTCACCTCTTTTCCCTCTAAGCATTAATGATCTCTCCAGGAAATTGCAAACAATTATGTTTGTGCTCTTTTTCTAAGGGATGTACGGGATAAGAATAGTTTAAGTATATACTTTCTTACAGCTGCTTTTTCCCTTTGTAAATCAAATCCTTTTTTTTTTCTTTTAGTTGCACTAAAGCCTAATATGAAATGACGTTTTAGTGCAGAAGAACATATGCATTTTTTATTTGTTCCATTACTCAAAAGTTCCTAGTTAGTTACTCTGGGTTAATGCTGGGAGGCCACATTATTTATGATTTTTTTTTTCTGTTTTCTCTCTTGCTCTCACTGGGTTTCCATATTGTGCCCGATTGGGGAATGACATTTACCTTAAGGCATTATAATCTTTAAGGGTGTGCCTCGGCCTTGGAGAGACCAGAGTAAAATGCTGCCTGGTTATCTCCTGGGATTCAGTTTGCAGAATCTTTGGCCTCTTTAGCACGTCCTCCGCAAAGCCCTTTTGATTCCGGAGTCTCTAATCATTATCATTGACTGGACTTAGAGTCTGTAAAAGAGAATTAGAGGCTGGGAGGGGAGACAAGGTAGCTGTTGGAGTTTGAAAAGTCTGGGAATACTCTGGAGTTTTTCATCCTCTCATATATTTTTGGTTTTTTGCGCATATGCAACTGAAGACTTTTCAAGTTCTTGCTTTCCACTACAAAACTACTCCCCTTTGCAGAGTGGGAGGGCCTGATCTCCGTTCTGCATGGCTCACCTTTTGTTGTCTTCCCACGCCTCCTTGCTGAAGTTCTCCTCCCTTCTCTTGGCTCTTCTGGCCAGACCTGGATCCTCATCTGTGGCTGTTTCTGCTCTTTCAGAAAAGCCCACTTTTACAAAGGGCCTTCTCCCATAGTTTTCTTTTGGTGATTACTTTGTTTAGCTTAGTTTCTGTCTTCCCTTCTGTTTTATTTGCTTGCCACTCCGTATATCCCCATCTGCATAACTATGTAAGTATTTTTTTTTTTAAGTGTTCAGGGCCATCTGCTGGTTTTCTTTTGATGTCCTTCGTGACCAACTTTCAGAACAGAGGTTTGGAAACACCCTATGTTGCTATTTGTTTTATTATTTCCCCAAACATGATATGAACACATTGATTTTTTTTTAAAGATTTATTTATTTGAGAGAGAGAGAGAGAGAGCAACAAAGTGCCTGAGCGAGGAAGAGAGGGAAAAGCAGGTTCCCCACTGAGCAGGAAGCCCGACATGGGGCTTGATCCCAGGACCCTAGGATCATGACCTGAGCCGAAGGCAGACGGCTAACCAACTCAGCCACCCAGGCATCCCAACACATGGATTTTTAAGGACTGGCTTCTTGTAGACCACTTAAGGGAATATCATACAATATCATACAAAAGCAGAATATTCAGTTGAATATCTTTCTAAATAGTCACATGTTTAGTACTATGTGCTTCATTTGGAAGTTTTATCATCCAACTGAATACTGAAAAACTCACTTAACAGTAGGATATCGCTTATGTGATACAGCTCGTCTAAATGATTTGGAAAATCTGTGTGCTTAACTTATTTCTATACCTTTAATCTGAGTATAAAAAGCCACACCGATAAAGCCTTGATTTAAAAAAAAAAAAAAAAAAACTTCATGAAATCATTCTTTTCATTGTCTTTTGTTTTAGTAACTTTTCATTCTGTTGCCTAATGCAGTGTCTGCACGTGGCACATGCTTGTATGTCTTATTGTTGAGTGAATGCTGATTTCAATAATTTGAGATAAGGTGTTATGTATGTCTTTGAATGTATAATCCTTCCTTGAAAATTGTTGGATTCCTATTCTGTAGCAGTCACCGGACCACCAAAAGTAATGTGTCGCTCCAATTTTGAAAGGATTCTTCAATTAGTTTTACATTGGGGGAAACCCTTCATTGATGGATTTACAAGTAGGTTTTTTGTTGTAATTTTATATAAAGTAACAATACTTGTAAGTAGATGACTTGAGTATCATCTACACCAGAAAGCGAGTGAGGAACACACTCTTTAATACATGGAGAGGCTGGTGCTTCCTAGTCTATCATCAAAAGCACTTGTGCTTGGCATTTTTGTTTTACTGGTAGTAATAAAATTGTCCTAATTCTTCTTATGTATTTCACTTACCTTTTTGGCTATTTTAGAAGTGTTAAATGTGGCTGTGGAAATACTGTAGATGCTGTTGATAAAAACAAACCAACAACTGGGGGTTCTTTTCCACTAGGCTCTAAGTAGACGACCAGGTTCTCAGTAGCTTCAGTTAAAATAGTCAAAGCATGATTTATCTATTAATTTTTCCTTTTTTATCAATTTTTCTTGTCTAACTTAATAAACATATATTAATCTGTGGAAGCATGCAGTGTTCTATTGTGCTTATTGACTCTTAAACTTTAAATGTTTGTGGGAATGGTCTCTTCTGCCATGAGTTAACCTTCTCATTGGTAAGTACCATTAGTATTGACTTTAAGATTTGAGTTGAAGTGGTTTTTACTTAAAAGACGGGTTTTAAATATGTGGGTCACATCTCTCTATTCCTATTTAGACTTTTACTTTGGATCTTTCTGCACAGGGAAATCTGTGGTTCTATTTTTCTGGGTGTGTATGGACATAAGTTCTTGAAAATCTTGGGTGTCTCACAACCAAAATGGAATTATCAGGCTACCATGTCCTGTGTGATGATTTCATTCTAAAGATGTCATACATTTGATTTTATGCCTCTCTCCATACCCCTTCAAAAAATAAAATAAAAAATAAAGTCCATACTAATTTCTGGTGCTACGCATTACTAACTTTCTTCAGAACATGAGCCAATCTGGGACTTGGTAGTAAGGCGGATGATAGAAGTACATTCCATAACATTTCTTCCAGGAGGAGGAAAAAAAAAAGCCCTATGTTGTATTCATTT